AATCACGCCGAACGGAATTTAGAAAAAAAAACTGAAGTATCTTTACTATGTTGTTTAAATGAATTACTAAAAAAGTGCACAGAAAAAAATTGGCACTGATTTTGTTTTGCTGGTACTAATTAATCACTGACAGATCACTCTGTGAACTCAATACTGAATTCGCACTGACCGTACTTATACTGTGGCCACTCTGTATTTAATTGACACGCGGCTTAGAGGTAGGCTGGTCGGATCAATGACAGATTAGCATATCAATGACTTGAATTTTCGTTCACACATCTCTTAAGTTCTTTCAAACCAAAAATTGGCTGTGCAGTATAAGCAAATTATATTGTTCCATTTATGTAAACATTTTTTTAACCGCTGAGGCAATGCAAATTTTTGCATCGATTTAGATACAAAAATAAATTCCAGTGGTGTTCAGCCGTATTGATTTGTAAAATTTGACTGTACAAAGTTGCAACCGTTTTTCAAGAGAAGGCAACAAATTTGGTCATTCTCTGACCATAAATTGATTCATATAAAATATAATCCGACTTTTTTTAGAAAATATTTTGCAATCAGACTAATTCATGATTTCAAATAATCTAATAAGGGCAAGTATTCCATTCTGTGTTTATTAGATGACTAAGAACAAAAAAGTACTGTGAACAGAAATTGCCGTAAACTAAAATATTATCCAAAAACATCAGCAAAACTCGTAAACTCAATTATTTACACTATCACAGGACAAAAATCAAACGAGTTTTAAATTATAGTGCAAATTGACTAAATCGCGTGAAAACACTGCTGAGGGAAATGAGTCGACAAAAAATTATAAGGTTTTTAGTTTCAGAGCCGCGGATCTGCTCAAAATGCCATTTTTGGCTTTAGTTTCAGAGCCGCGGCTTTAGTTTTGGCTTTAAGTTTCAGAGCCGCGGATCTGCTCGAAAACCATGTTTTTCCAAAATACGTCTGACCGTAGTTGCTGAGATAGTTTTCGTACTGAAACATTTATAATCCGACTGTAGTAACTTGATAGACCGTTTCCTGTCTCCTTTCTTTACATTTTTGACCAGAGTTTTTCTTCTTCTCTATTTTTTTTAATTTTCTTCCACACCTAGAAAGCCCCATGGGTCCTTAGGATAAGCTTTTTAATCACTGTACGCAGTTTGTTGGTTTACTTTCAGCGTATTGGCTATTTTTTCGATGGCACAACCTTGTTGTTGTAAGTCAACAATTTTAAAATTCATTTCTAAACTCAACGTGTTGCGTTTAGCCATATTTCTGAACTAACTGAATAAATCCCCCAAAACGCACAAAAACGTGAAAACATTTCACGTCAAAATTTACGGGCCTCCTTCTTTTGTTCAATTTCTAAATAAAATTGATATATTTTAAAAAACGGTTTTTCAACAGACACTATATGAAAAAATGACTGTACAAGTCTTTTTGGCGAGATAGTGTTTTTGTGAGTACTCATTTTATTAGAATGAATAAGCTTACTTTATTTATATATCTAATAAGACACATACCTAGGATTTTTCACAAGAAGAGGATAATGATGAATTTTAAGAAGCATTCCAATATTTTGTTGACATTTTTGCAAGTCGATAAAATTGATTGACCGAAGTTTCCGAAAAATACTATTAAGAATTGTAAACAAAGCCAAAAATGGTGTTTTGGGCACTTTTTGGAAAGTGTTGGCTGTCAAATTGCATTTTTTTGCGGTTGCCCTAAATTCAAAATGAGCATATATTGGCGTCAAATGAGGCTGTAGAAAAAATTTGAAAGTCGATCGACGGAAAAAATACCAAACAGCCCAGATATTGAATATCAGTTCGAAACCCTCCTCGGTGCTCGTTGCTTTTAAGAGAGAAACATTTTGCAGCCGGTGAAAAAATAAGCTAAGTTACAGGTAAGTTGGTCTTTTTTCAAATCGATCTATGGTTTTTACGGAAAAAAACGCAGATAATAACTGCCTAAAAAGTAAAAAATAATTGTTTTCAGGTTTGTTAGTTTTATCATTATTTCATTTCCACCCAAAATCAGTTACCACAAACAATCATCAGAATAGATCGAGTGATATATCATATTGAAGCCTTTTCAGATGTGATTCGGATTCGAAAGAAATTTAAAATCTTTCAAAAATTTGTTTTGAGCTTTTGAGTTTTAGTCTGAATTCGCGCAAGTAAAGCGATCGAGCAACCTTCGTGATACAAAAACTGGCCGTTTAGGCTTAGGAAAACTTTTATGTTTCAAAGAAAAATTTGTTTGGAAAGCTTCATTTAGCGCCTTATTGGCAATTTACGTTTTCTAAAAAAACGTTAATTTATTGTGCAAAATTTGTTTATAACATTTTTTTTCAATTTTTTGTTTTTATCTATTTTATATAAAAAATTGTGACCATATTTAAGTCACCAAATTTTTATCTGTTTAGTTTTTCATTGCAACATATGAAAAAAAAGGAAAAACTTTTCTTGTAGTTATATATGAATGTGGTCTTAACAGAAACCAGCAATCTTTGTTTAATGTGGCTTTGCTTAAAAGAGTTATAAGTGACTTGTCTAAAAACACATAAGAGAACCAAAAAATATTAAATGCTTCTTATTTTTTGAATGAGCTCCCATAGCAAAAGTTCAATTTAAAATGCAGTAAATTTGATAGTTTTTTTCATCTCTTAGATTACTTAGAGCGTCAAATTTAATTCAATTTGTAGGGAGTTTCAGCCGTATTAACTCATCGAGTCAATCATGTACGTAACTCATGAAGCCAAAACAAGTTTACTCGCATCGTAACGAAAAAATAATGTTTCTAACTGGAATTTAAACTGAGGATAAAAAAATCTTTGATTGAAAAATAGACAAATCAGTCAAAAATCTTAAAAAAAAACTGAGAATATTTTTTCGTTTTTTCTTCCCTATAACAGTATTTAGGTACATTTAGATACATTTTTGTTAGTTTTATATTTTTTTTACGACTAAATTGTCCCCCTCAATGGTTTTGGAGAAATTTTTTTGCCGCTTACGCTCTAATAGGATAAAATCTATCTCGTTATAATTATCCCAAGTTTCAAACGCTCGGTAATTTACAAAAAATGGTTAAATTGGAAAAGAAGTTGAAAATCAGTAAATAGAATTGAAGTTCTGAACTTGCGAGTTGGTTGATATAAGGATTCAGAAATCAAAATTAGCGCAGATAGCTATTCATTATAAGGCTTAATTGATAACTGAATGAACAGTCATTCAACGCAATGCTCATTATGGTCGGTTTTTGTTGAGTTCTTCGGAATGGGTAAAAAACGAATTGAATGAATTTTGAATGCAACGTTCATTAAAGTGAAAGCTTTTGTTGAGTCTCGTTTCTGTAACAACTATGGTTTCAGCTCCTCCTTGTCAATGATCAATTATTTTTTACAAAAGTTGATTAATTAAAAAGGTGTTTTCTATGGACATTTTTTCAATTCAAGTTCCGCCCAACTTGCTTACAAGTTACTTAGTGTATCAGACCTATCAGGCATAGTTTTCAACCCAATCAAACTTTTCTTTTAGTTAGCTTTCCTTTTTTTCTTTCATAGAAAAAAGTGAAAGAATTTTTCTGCTCAGGATAGCTTTTGTTCAGCCAACATTAGTTTTTTGACGGAAATTTTTTTTTCTAATGAACTTTTTAAAATTAATTATATCCTTTATGATATAGTTGTCGGTGCTGAGAAATTGCCAATCTGGCTGAATTGGTGGACTAGTTTACGAACAGTTATAAAAATCCATCTATGGTTCGGAACGCGGAAGCGCGAATTTGTTAAGCGAGGCGAAATATTCTGCCCTCAAAATTACTCCAAACAGAATTTTTAAATTGAAAAAAAAACTGACTTTGAGAAGAAATAGTTCGGAACTATCTGAGTATAGGCGAAAGAATCAGCCTTCAAATTACTGAACGACCTTCTTTTTTATTGAATAAATATTTAGTAAACAAGTGCACTGAAAAAAAAAATTGGCACTGATTTTAATTTGCTGGTACTAATTAATCACTGACCGATCACTCTGTGAACTGAATGGGCACTGGCCGTACTAATGCTGGGGCCACACTTTAGTTACTTGACACTAAGTTTAGAGACAGTCTGGTCGGAACACTGACAGATTAGCATATCAATGAATTAAGATTTTGTTTCAGAAAACATTTTGCAATCAGCCTAAAGCATGATGTTAAATACCCTATTTATGGCAAGTGTTCCATTCGGTATTTACTTAGGTGAACAGTAGAAAAAAGAAAAATTAGTCGCGGCGGTCAAAAAATTATGTGGTCAATTGCTACGGACTCTCCTCGCTACGGAGTTCCGATGCTAGGTTGGAACTTGATCCTCTAAATATTTCCAGTTTGTTTGAGAAATCGCAATGTTTCTCGAAATTTAAAAAAATCAACATAGAAAAACTATGTAGCTTAGGAGCAAATGCTATAATACTATCCTCAGCCTTCCAATTCTAAACTGGAACTTCATCCTCCTATTTATTCTAGTTTTTGGGAGAATGAATTTTTTAAAAATTGTTATGATAATTTTTTACTGATTTCTTGTCTAGTGCAGTGACCACTTATTCAGTATTATATACCTCCATCTATTTAGCTATTCGAAATTGGAGTTTTAAGTACTTACTTGACTTTTTCGTTTCGAAAAAGTTGTATTTTTTTTGTTCTGTTTACTAAATTGATTATGTTTGATTATGTTATTTAAGCCGGATATACTCTCAGTGGGTACTCAAGGTGCCTTTTGTCTATCTACTCCAATTTATTTAATTTGATGATATTCTGTATTGCTTCTAAAAATATAACCAAAACTCTGTGGAGAAATCAATTCTTTCTTTCTTATTATAACTACAAAAAAATGTATGCCCGCTGCTTAAAAGAAAACTCAAGCTATAGTAACTGGGCCGAAATTAATATTTGCTGATTAAGTTGCATTTTACTTCTATCTTCAAGTCGGACTAGTTTTCAAATCGTTGGCAAAAAGAATGCAAATAAAACTCAAAAATAATAATTAAAACCAGTAGGTCATCAACATACGCATTCTAAAACAATCTTCACAAAACAACTCCAAAATAGTTCTAGCAAATAAAATATTGCATCGGATGTGTTCGTTATTGCATCGAAAACAAAAACCATCATCAGTGGTTTGCGATTTTGGCTCTCTTGCTCGGAGGTTCGGTAATGTCGAAAGTTTTGATACCAGGTGTGGTACTTTTATCTTCCTCCTTCTGGTTCTCTTTTCCAGTGGTAGAGTTGCAACTGGGGTTAGGCACCGGCAATTTCGATAGTCTGTACTGTCTTAGCACTTCTTTGCTGACGTACCAACAGACTTTCACGAATTCTTTTTCCCTCTTCTCTCGATCGGCCATCGACAGAATCTTGATCTCCAGCTTCTTCCTACAAAATAAATTCAAAGATTACTCAGAGCGATGAGTTTGCAACACCCTAGAAAAATTTTAGGGTCCGTCACCACAAATGGATATCTCAAAATAGTACAAAGAGGTGACCCTTTAGGTCGGCAGGGGGCCGAATTCCTGAGCCCCCCCCCCCCCTCCCCGCTAAATACACTGGCGCAAATACATCAATCTATACCACAAAAAAAAACAATTAATTACAATAAAAAATGACGGCGGTTAACGAAAATAACTACGTTCAAACGTTGTTTGAACTATGTTCAAACAACAATTTTAAAAAAAACAAGTCGAATTCTGCGAAAAAATTGATCTAGAAACACCCACATTTTGTCGACAAAACAGTCCAGTCAAATTTACTAGGAATTTGTAAAATTTTTTTGATAAATTAAAAAAACACGATGTTACAGCGAAACTTGAATTGAGTTAAAATGAAATTTATCAAACATAATTGTGGACAGGATTTTCCATTTTTTTTAAAATAAATGTTTAGACTTTTTTTCGAGCATTCTTATCTTTCTGAGCTCTTCAAAAACACCATAACCGCCCTTTTTGACAGCACTTTCTCCGCCGCAGACAAATATTTGAACACACATGTCAAAAATGCCATTTTAGTGAGCTTTTTGAAAGGCATTGACTTAAAAATCGATGTTTCGGCAAACTTTACCCTTCAAATTTATTAGATGATGGGGCCAAAGGCTCCTTTAGGAAAATTCTGAATCCGTCCATCATTATGACGCTAAATTGCTTATAATTAATAACACAAACTTTCACATCAAAAAATCAAATCAGAAACCATGCATCGATAAAACTGAAAATATGAGGCAAAAAAAATTCCAATAGATAATCTTCTAAATTGTTTTCTTTTCTAGCAGAAAAAAATTATCGTGTATAGAAATATAAGAATGAAATAAGTATTTTTAGCTCTTCGAAATGAACTGAGTGATTGTTATAAAAATTATTTGAAAGGTTACCGAAAAAAAAACACGGCAAAAAAGCCGGTAAAATTGGGACAAAATCCATGAATCTGACGAATCCATTGGGACAAAATCCATGAAAAAAAATTAAATTAAAATTTAGAAAAAACCTTCCAACTGTAGACCCAGTATCACCTCAGTAGCTCTAGAAACAGGACTACAGCTGTTCAAAGTGCAACTTGGCTTCGAACTGGAGATCCCAAAAACTGGAGATCCCATGAACAAAGCTTTTTACGGAAAAAAGTTATTATACGATTGCAATACCCTTGATAAGCTGAAAATAACTTGCAATTTTTATCTTATAACGGGCGAGAATTGATTGGCAAAGAGTGCAAAAAACGATTTTTTTAAAATAAAATAAATGAGCTATTTAAAATAAACGATTGTAGACATGTGCTGAACAGATAAGTAGTAAGGCCTGTGCCTTTATTACCACAGTTTGGAGGTTGGAGGCCTACCATGATGCTTGAAAAAATACAAGCAGAACAGTGATGATCATCTCAGTCGTTGTCAACTTCGGTTTTGCAAAAGAGATGAACAACACCTATTCTGGGTAATTGTCTAGCGAATAAGTTGATTTAACCGTGTGTGCAGAAACCGAAAGCTTAGGTCATTTGCCCTTCAATTTGCATCATTTTTCATCTGTGATATGCCAGTGTTATACAAAAATTGCATAACTTTCTCGGCATATTATACTGATACCCAAATATTTGGAATAGTCTACACTAAATCTGATCTAATTCTGAAGAACAACGTTTGAGGTGAGAACATAAAAAGAGACCTGGATAGATTGTCTCCCTGTGGGTTTTCCAGGGTCTCAGTCTCCTTGGCCCAGAATGCCCTGAACTCCTCCACCAGCAGTTTGAGTCCCTTCGTGTTCCCGTGCACCAACCGGATGAGGCTGGGCATGGCTGCCTTCGGAATCACTGTCACCACATTCTCTCCCTCCCCATTCTTCTTCTTCTGCCCTAACTTGTCCTTGTTAGCACGACACTGCTCGTCGTCAGTCTAAACCCAGCACACGGAGGGTCAGTGGTTCGATGCCCATCATGATCCGTGATAAATCGGCGAGGCTCATTTTAAATGTTTTGAAACAAAAAACATAGTTTCCCTATTTTTCGAGATAGAACATACACTCACATATTCGATATTTTAACTATTTATTGCTTAACAATCTACCAATCGTGCAAGTAAAATTGAGTTTTTGCATATATCTATGAGGGCAATTTGATCGTTTCATTAACTTTATCGATTCCCCTTTTTTCCCCTCACATTTTTCCGAGAGCAGCCTATCATATGTACAAACATGAATCACTCACCGAGAACACTTGAATGGGTTGTGAGGTGTCGCATAGGAACACGGCGGACAACTGGATCAACTCAACTGGTTTGCTGGGGTCCATGTCTGCCGAGAGGTAGTAGGGTCCGACCATCCTAGGCACCATCTTAACACACTTCTTCTTGAACCTCGCCTCCCACTCCTTCGTCTGCTTCTTCAGGTCTGAACATAAGCACATGTGGAGGATTTTATAAAAACCTCAAAGCGATTGCCGATTTTACAAAAAACCTCAATATTTCGAAATTCATCTACCTTCGGGTTAAAATTTAAAAAATGTTGAACATGCAAAAAATACGTTAAAAAAGCTTAAACATGGCGAGATAGTGAAGCCCGCATTTAAATATATAATAGATTTCAAATTGGCAATTTTTTGATAAAAAATTAACTCAATTCAAGAAAACTGGATTATTAGGTAAAGCTTTTATTCCGCTGGTGAATCTGGAAAATGATTTCCACTTCTTAAACTAGAAGTCAATAACGTTTTTCGTGACATTTACACTTTTGTAGTTCGATAATGAAGTTTGACTTCATTTTAACAAAAAAATAAACTAAACTATAAAGAAATCAAAGTCAAACCGCCAAAAAAACCAAATTGAGCGCGAACAGATTTTACGAGTTTTCCTGAAAAGTAACTATCCCGCCCTATAAAAGTATCTTGACTACGTTCATCGACTCTATAAGACAATCCCAACTTCAATCTAAATTGATAGCTTTATGATTTTTTGTGTTTTCATCCAATTTTCACACAGAGGCAAAGCGGAGTTTCCCATCACTTCGATACAAAAATGCATAACTATGATTACCAGCAAATGAAAAGACAAACAAAAACAAATACCTTCAAAAAATCGTTTGTTTTTGTCAAAAAAAAGTTATAAAAATTAAAAATTGCAAAAAAGGACGAAAAATACCTGAAACCAAAATTACCTTGAATGGGAGCATTCAAAAGGCCGAAAAATAACCCAAATGATTCTGCGGCAACTAAGCCGACAAAAACAGACAAACAGAAATGCGATAAATATTTTTTGACGCGCGGACAATTTTTCCGCTTAAAAAACAGAAAGTACCCGTATTCGAACCTTTGACTTTATAGGCATTAACGCACTACATGCGCGAATTAACAACTGACTTTTGACTTCATATGAAGCAAAGAAAAGTAAAATGATTCAAAAGATTCTGTTAAACTAGTTGTTAACCCGCAAAAAGTCTATATTCCGGTTTGATAACGCTTGCAAACCGCAAGAGTAAAATTTTTCCTTTTTTTCTCACAAGTGCGTCAGTAGGACTTTTGCGAGACGGACAAAAACTCGCATGAAAACTCCTTTTCCTCGGCACTGCCTATTTTTTTTAGATCAATTCAATTAGTTTTTGAGATTCAAAACACTCAAAGAACCATATTTTAAAAAGTAAATTATTCAACACAGGCAAAAAACGTGTCGAAAGTTTCTTTTTGGACATTTTTCAAAAATCCTTAACAAAAAACTGCTAAAACGAACTCAATACTACACAAAAAAAATAACAAACGCATACGAACTACAGTTCGGAGATAAGACTTGCTCTTCAAAAGCGCAATCGCGCTCGAAGCTCAATTAGGACAAGCAGCCAGTCGAATTATAACTTCGATTCTTCAAAACTAATTTTAAATCGAAAGTGTTGAATTAAGATTTCAATTACGAAAACCTCGATTAAGCAACAACCTTATCTACACGATTCCCGATTACCCTGCCAAGACGGCAGTGCGAGCGGTGGCAATGCATATGAAGATCAACAGAGAAGAAAGAAGAAAAAAGATGTCGCAAATCTGGGACTCTGTTAGCGTTTGGAGAAAAGTTAGGATGTAGGAAACATATTTCATAAAGACTCAATTGATATTCATAACTCCCCATTTGACGCTAAAATGAAAGGTTGTCGGAGATTTTCTTTATTGGACTAAAATTTTAAGCTGAAGACAGTGAGTTGAAAGCGCTTCATTCTTTGTCAAGACCTAAAAACCTGACGATTGTAGAAAGCCTTCAGTTATAGTAAATTTTATGTTCTTTCGAAAAAAAAAACAGATAACGCTGTAAACCAGTTGAACTAGAAAAAAACATGAGTTCAAGAAAAACTCTCAGCCCTAAATATCTTTTAGAAAAATTGGTTTATCGCAAAGGGTTGCCTTTACTAAAAAAACTGTATACATGATTGTTTCAAACTTTGTACAACCAATTTGAAAATAAATTTATTTATTATCAATGAAAAACTAATTTCATCAGCACTCAGTGAGATTATTTAACTTTGTCAATTTCTTATGTAAAAATGACACCTATCAAAAATTATCTGTGGAATTGAAAAGCTGCTTCATGAAAAAAAAACAGTCGGCCACCGAAATAACAAATCACGATGCAATTCAGTCAGTTTAAACTATATTAAATGAATTTATCAGGTTTTCAACTATAGCGAGGTGACTTACTCTCTGTGTCGGCCTGTTCGCCCTCTCCTCCTTCCTCCTCCGAGAGGTATCCGTGGGGCACCAGGAAGCCCTCGTCCTCGTAGTCGTACTCGTTCTCATCCTCCGCGCCACTCCCTCCAGCTGCTACTTCGTCCTAACACAACAAAAAAGTAGTAACTTTAATTAACCTTAATATCACTCAGTTAATTGTTTTCGATAATTGTGTAACAGCAGTTTAAGGTCTTTTACTACTACTGCAATTCAAAACCATATCACCATCTCTCCAAACATCATTTAATCACTAAAACTTTATTCCCGTTTCAAAATGTGTGCTTTCATACTTGAATAAGTACTTTATTACATGATTCAAAATGCAAACTCATATTGCCATTAGAAACCGCCCCAGAACTTCTCCAGAAGAAGTGATAAGTCTTGCCGAATCATATAATTTTGGGTGACAAGTGGAACACCGAATGCCCCTTGTTTTTTTAAATTATTTAGGCATAACAGTTACTTTACTATTAATGGATTTCTTTACTTGATTTCTCATTACTCACCCCTGATTCGTCCACACTCTCTCCCGCCTCCTCCACGTCAGAGTAGAAGTCATCCTCCTCGTTGTAGTCAAAGAACTTCTGAACAACAACAACACACACACATTTAGAAAGAGAAAAACACAACCAACAAACAGTTAGAAAAGAGTCAATGAGCGCCAGTAAACAGAAAGCAAATACAGATCCTTGTTTTTCGAACCTCAAAGAAAAAACGGATGCCCTTAAAGCTCTTTGTTTGAATTTCTAGAGTAATTGTTGATTGGCAAATTTTGACACAATTAACCAATTTGAGAACACTGATTCAATAAGTAAAATGTTTATTTAGCTGTGAAATCTGATAATAAATTCCACTTTCGAAACAAGAAGTCGATCCCTTTTTCGTGAAATTTACTTTTTTGCTGTTCGATAACGGAGTCTGCTTTCCTTTTAACAATGGAAATGTACTGAACTCAAAAAGAAATCAAAAGTCAAACCGCGAAAAATTAAATTTGAGCCTGAACAAACACAGAACTCATTTTTCGAACCTCAAAGAAAAAACGGATACCCTTAAAGCTCTTTGAATTTCCAGAATACTTGTTGATTGGCAAATTTTGACACAATTAACCTAATTTGAGAAAACTGATTCAATAAGTAAAATTTCTATTTCGCTGTGAAATCTGATAATAAATTCCACTTTCGAAACTAGAAGTCGATCCCTTTTTCGTGTCATTTACTTTTTTGCTGTTTGATAACGGAGTCTGCCTTCCTTTCAACAATGGAAATGTACTGAACTCAAAAAGAAATCAAAAGTCAAACCGTGAAAAATTAAATTTGAGCCTGAACGAAAAAAAATCATCGCGACCCGTATAAGAGTCTGATCTACGTTCATCGACTCTTAAACAATGTTCGTATATGAGTTTAATCGAACGAATGATCATCAGAACGCTTCTGATTTGGAACTGTATTGTAGGAAGTGTTTAAGTAGTAAACTACACATCTTTGATTTCATCTATGATTCACACTGACATAATGCAATGAAACTTGACAAGATGATAAAAGTAACAATTGAGAACAGATTTTGAGTTTAAGTAGTCCGATGTGGCTTTCTCATAGAGTAATTTCGGATAAGGTACACCATCTGTTCATCACGCTAACTTATTTTCGGCCGGATAGGTTCGTCCAACTTCTTAGTCTAATACCAATCATAATCTTACTCTTATATCTCCTACTCTCAATAGATCTAGTGTATACTGGTATTGTTGCGAGGTTTCGAATCAAGAACTGAATTTAGGAAGAGCAACAGTTTGCTCAGTTAAATTTATTGCTCTCTGACTGAAACTATAAATAGTTTCCGCCTTACAAATAATGGTAAGTTTTAGTCATGTATCATGATTGGTTAGTTCTAAGTATTTTACAAGGATAATTATCAAGAATATAATAAGATAAAATAAATACTTGTTTTGAACTGGTTCCGATTTGTTCTTCATGCCTTACATCATAACATTACGCGTTAAGCCATAATTTCATGTAGACCCATTATAAAAAAAAAGAAAATTTGAAAGGCGGGGGGGGGGAAGGGAGTGGAAAGAGCCTAATGTCCATGTGGATATCTGTCATGAAAATCAAAAACTGCTTGTACGTATAAACTAGCGGTAAAACGGCAGTTTTCAGTTGAGGGCTAAAATCTAGTATGTATATCACTCCCTTTGTATTAATTAGCCTTAACTGAACATAACTCAAGTGCCCCACCTCTAGCTTCATGACGGGTCTCCTGTATAAGGGGCAGTCGGGGAGGGGCAGTTTGCGCCAGCTGCCGAAATAGTCTAGCCACGACTTGTCTTCGCCATAGTGTCGGATCCGAATGTACTTGCCACGCATCAAAAACTTACGAGAACCTAAATCATAAAACATCACAATTCTTTTACTATGTTTTCTCAAAGATACCTATTTTTGTTTAAAAAAAAAGTAAAAAAAAACTGCTGTCTTGCAAGTATATGCATGAAGATCAAAATATATTTGAAGTTGGGTAATTAATGTTGATGGAAACGTTCATTGCTACTGATCATGAACAACAAATTTTGATAATAGAAACAATTGCATTAGCGATTTGACATTTTCTTACAACAGAAAAAAAAGTACAACTGTTTTTAGAACTCGATCAATTACATCGTGTTTGGACGCTGCGAAAAGCAAAAACTCGATCATTGAAGACGAGTTGTAAATAATACGGTACAAATTATGTTTTGATTTACTGATTTGAGACCTAAAAAAATTATACGTACCAGAGTTTGTGGGCTGCAGAAGGAACAAATCTAACTCTTTGATATCCTTGAAATTCAGTTTCTGCAATTCATATTTTTCTTCAACTGCATCTTGTGTTTCAGTTTCATTTTCGGAAGGTCCATCCAATACAACAATTGAATCTTCTGCTAAATTGATGACATCCGTTTTGTCTGATTTTAAACCTGCATCTTGAGTCTCGATAACTTCCGATGATGGTTGAACCACTTTCAATTCATCCTCATCGACATCAGATGAAGGTTCAGGAACAACATTGGATTCTTTCATTTCTGAAGACTTGACTTTGTCCGCACTATTTTTCAGATCATCGCTTGGATGTTTCTTCGAATCATTTGAATCGTCAGAAGATTCGCCAGAGTCAACAATTAATTCTCTGAAACAGAAGACAGTTTTGTCAATGCGTCCACACTATCAATACAACTTTCCAAAACTTCATCTTAGTTATCTCACGGCAAATTTTGAATAATTCAAAAAATCATTGGAATTGCACCAGAAAATGAACATGTTGCAACATAACTTAGCAACCGTCTTGATTTTCTCTCAATTTTCATAAACTGCAAAAAACTTCGCAAAACATAAAACCACATCTGTTTTAAAGCCTATAAAAATTAGATAGTTTTTTTTCCACTTTTTTCGGTTTTTTTGAAAATCGGTATAGCTCAGCAATACCTCAAATATCCGACAAAACTAGAATCTCTCTTCATTTTGACAGTGAGTCCAACTGTTTGTTTGGATTTGGAGGCATGCCTCTGTTTCAGATACGCAATCGGAACTCCTTCCGTCTCATTTTGACCATCTGTCAGTGTGAAGTCTTTCATAAGCGCGTGAAGGTTCCGCTTGGTCACAACTTTGCGCTCTTCATTGAAGACAGTGCTTATGGATACTTCTTGGTCCTGAAAAAAAATGTATTTATCATCTATCATCGTAACTCTAAATAGTCTTTTATAATGCAATGATTATATCGCTCCCTTTTCAACCTTTTTAACAATGCAAACCTTTTTAAATTTCCATATTTGACGCATCATTTTTTAGATCTCAGATGATTCGCATCCTTAAACCGTAAAAATACCACCAAACTTCAAAAAAATCGGTTGTGTTCAATTAAAATGACCAATTGCGTTCAGTGTTCATTGCTAAACAATACATTCTTTTCACTTAGATGAGATTCTTTTCATCAGTTTTTAATTTTTGGGCTTAAATTCGGTTATTCAAAATTTCGAAAACCGTTTTAAAACACGTAACAACCAACTTTGAGAGTGCTTCATTTTCACCTCAGCAGAAAATAAGACAATTTGAGATAAAAAATAAACAACCCTTAAAAAACGAAAAAAAAAAATGATGAAAAATCTGATGCGTAAATTTTTCGGCTTCAGCTCCACCCAAAGATAGTTTTTTCAAACCCTATAATCAACTTAAACCATACTACAATAAAATTTTTGCTCAAACAAATTGATGGGAAATTTACAAGAAACAAAACACTGAGCTCTAATCCGAAGATAAAAAGTTTGAACTCCAATCGAAGATTTTTTAAAAAAGATATCCGACCTGTTGGAGACACGCAGCGTCGAATGCCTCTGTGTCAAGCTTCGGTCTCCTCCTATGAGGCATCAGTTGCATGCCCGGGAGAGGCTCGAACGCCACAAACGGCCCAATGTATCTTCGACTATTCTTACTCTAAGAAAAAAACACATTGAAATTACCATTTACTCAAGCATTTTTTATTAAGAAACATCATTTAAATCAACGTAATTTGGAGGCGATGTACTAAATGCATGTTTTTGTAGTAGATTCAATATGTGCATATTGAATCTACTACAAAAAAGTTCAAATGTTGAAACTGGGCCTCCCCGAATTCCATCGATGGCAAAAACCACCCAAAAATTACGTAGTTTAGATTAAATGCTGCAAAATAGCTCAATTGTTACATAAATTTTGTTGGTTTCTTGTTTATATGGTTGCTTGCTTTTATGGCTGCTTGTTTATATGGTTGTATAAGATTGCTGGCTTATACTCTGGCGTGTTTATACACTATCGGACAGCAATTCTGGTGATTATACTTGACTCTGTTACTGAAGTAGTTTACGCTCAATTACATGTAATTTGAGATGTTTAGGACCATTTGTCTAGGGAAAGGACCAACATATGGGCTGTTCAGTTCTCAACTGACAACCAGTTAAGCCCCTAGTTGATAAAACAAGTATTTTTTGGCTATTTAAATGAACTGACAAATTTTGCCACATACTCAGTCAAAATCGACATGAACTCAAGTTTTACGAGGCAAAGCGTAACCTGCTGTTGTTGTTTTTAGCACCAATGAGGCGCGTCCGACATAATCAAACCGAGCCACAGAAACGTCACAAATTCGCTCGGACGAAGCCACAAGTATATTAGGTTTTAAAAACAGTGGTGTTCTGGGAACAGCTAAAAATATGGAGAGTGGTGTGAGAGGAAGAAATAAAAGGGGCATTTTGGGCAAATGTCGGGGCTCTTTTTCCCTTTTTCCTCACTGCTCCCTAATTATGCCACCGCAAAAATATCTTCTCTTCATAACTAAAATTGTACAACTACTCGTTATTCCATAAAAATGATGCTCGAGTGAGGTGGAAAAAATGAAAAAGAGCCGACGTCGAGGTCAATACAACGCAGGTACGTGCTGATGCCGGGGCTCTTCCCGGATCTAAACTGGAATATGTTTCTCTTAGTGAAAGAAGGGAGAAACTTGACAGGGAGATATCAGGTGGTCTGAGGGGGGGACTTCAAGAGGCGGCGCGTCTGATATGTCCCGTCTAGCTCTCTATGATGAATTTGCTTCTGAAGCTATTTACAGATAAAAGAACTTCGTTCATGAAAATAGTTGAAAAGAGTATGGGTATTAATTTCGGATATGATAGTCTCTATTTCGGCGGAAATTTAACTCCCTATTATCAAGCGGCGACCAGCATTTATTAATGTTTGCAGTTCGTTTAATGATGTTCCACTGGCATTATGTCACCAGTAAAATTTTATTGGACTGTTCTCAAAAAAATCAGGATAAAGCCTTCAGGACCAATAGTCTGCGCATGGCTTTTGCGGATGCTCGTTTGCAATGTTCAGCGAAATTTAGCGACGGGTCGAATATGACATCAAGTGTTTTCGGCTCAAAAATTGTGTCAGTATAGACGCAAAGGAAAATGAATATATCAAAAACCTCCACTATATTCCAGAATTTTCAACATTTTTTAAGTACTGTACAAATATCATTTGAAAAAAAAACATGCGAAGACCAAATTCCGAGAAAAAAAACGGATTCTTTTTGTATCCGTTTTTGTTACGCAGACGCGAAGCGGAGCTTCGCATTAATTGCAATACAATCATGAAAAAAAAAACAAATCGGAACTGCTGAAACAACTAGTTGCAACAAAATATATTGAGCCCGTTTTTACAAAAAAAAAGATGCCACGACAAAAAGTGAAATGAGCATCGGAAGAAAACTTACAAAGCGCGAAAAAAGCCAAAAGCATTTGAACAGTAACCGTTTCAGCCGAAACAAACTTTAAAACTAAAAAACGTTCAATTCCCCCTCCCCTTCAAATTATTTACACCAGCACACGAAAAAAATTTTCGGTCATCAAACGACGCAATATAAGGACACTACGCTAAAAAAAACAGGACGGAATCATTTAGGATAAAACATTTTTAAGCCAAAATACCAATAAAAAAACCAAATTAAGGTTTGTAAAATTAGAACAGCAGTAATAATCACAACACTTGAAGTAACTTTAATGTAAAATGCGTACAGAAAAAAAATAAACAATTCTATACGATGTGTCAACTAAGCCGTCAAAACATAAATAGACAAATAAGCGGACAATTTTTTTTTGAAAAGGAATAATTGAACCCAGGACCTTTGCCTTCCCAGGCGTATTGGTTACCTCCAGATAAGGTGTGTCAGTGACCCAAAAAAAATTGACTTCATTATGAGCTTAACCGAAGTTAACCGTTACTAATTTTGACCATTCTGTGAAAAGTTATAAACGGGAACAAAAGTCTTTTACCCGGTTGCAATACACTTGCTAAGATAGTTGAAAAAAAGTAAGATATCTGAATTACCTTAAAATATAGTAAGATTACTTGGACTACAAGAAAATTTATCCTATGATGACTAAGCCGGCAAAAATTAAGCAGACAGGCACTAGCTCTTTTTCAGAAGCATTAGTTTCCTATTTGCAAAACGCAGGTACGTGCTAAGGCCGGGGCTCTTCCCGGATCTAAACTGGAATACGTTTCTCTTAGTGGAAGAAGGGAGAAACTTGACAGGGAGATATCAGGTGGTCTGAGGGGGGGACCTCAAGAGGCGGCGCGTCTGATATGTCCCGTCTAGCTCTCTATGATGAATTTGCTTCTGAAGCTATTTACAGATAAAAGAACTTCGTTCATGAAAATAATTGAAAAGAGTATGGGTATTAATTTCGGATATGATAGTCTCTATCTCGGCGGAAATTTAACTCCCTATTATCAAGCGGCGACCAGCATTTATTAATGTTTGCAAATTGTTTAATGATGTTCCACTGGCAGCATGTCACCAGTAAAATTTTATTGGACTGTTCTCAAAAAAATCAGGATAAAGCCTTCAGGACCAATAGTCTGCGCGTGGCTTTTGCGGATGCTCGCTTGCAATGTTCAGCGAAATTTAGCGACGGGTCGAATATGACATCAAGTGTTTTCGGCTCAAAAATTGTGTCAGTATAGTCGCAAAGGAAAATGAATATATTAAAAACCTCCACTATATTCCAGAATTTTCAATATTTTTTAAGTACTGTACAAATATCATTTGAAGAAAAAAACATGCGAAGACCAAATTCCGAGAAAAAAAACGGATTCTTTTTGTATCCGTTTTTGTTACGCAGACGCGAAGCGGAGCTTCGCATTAATTGCAATACAATCATGAAAAAAAAAAACAAATCGGAACTGCTGAAACAACTAGTTGCAACAAAATATATTGAGCCCAATTTACAAAAAAAAGATGCCACGACAAAAAGTGAAATGAGCATCGGAAGAAAACTTACAAAGCGCGAAAAAAGCCAAAAGCATTTGAACAGTAACCGTTTCAGCCGAAACAAACTTTAAAACTAAAAAACGTTCAATTCCCCCTCCCCTTCAAATTATTTACACCAGCACACGAAAAAAATTTCGGTCATCAAACGACGCAATATAAGGACACTACGCTAAAAAAAACAGGACGGAATCATTTAGGATAAAACATTTTTAAGCCAAAATACCAATAAAAAAACCAAATTAAGGTTTGTAAAATTAGAACAGCAGTAATAATCACAACACTTGAAGTAACTTTAATGTAAAATGCGTACAGAAAAAAATAAACAATTCTATACGATGTGTCAACTAAGCCGTCAAAACATAAATAGACAAATAAGCGGACAATTTTTTTTTGAAAAGGAATAATTGAACCCAGGACCTTTGCCTTCCCAGGCGTATTGCTTACCGCCAGATAAGGTGTGTCAGTGACCCAAAAAAAATTGACTTCATTATGAGCTTAACCTAAGTTAACCATTACTAATTTTGACCATTCTGTGAAAAGTTATAAACGGGAACAAAAGTCTTTTACCCGGTTGCAATACACTTGCTAAGATAGTTGAAAAAAAGTAAGATATCTGAATTACCTTAAAATATAGTAAGATTACTTGGACTACAAGAAAATTTATCCTATGATGACTAAGCCGGCAAAAATTAAGCAGACAGGCACTAGCTCTTTTTCAGAAGCATTAGTTTCCTATTTGCAAAACGCAGGTACGTGCTAAGGCCGGGGCTCTTCCCGGATCTAAACTGGAATACGTTTCTCTTAGTGGAAGAAGGGAGAAACTTGACAGGGAGATATCAGGTGGTCTGAGGGGGGGACCTCAAGAGGCGGCGCGTCTGATATGTCCCGTCTAGCTTTCTATGATGAATTTGCTTCTGAAGCTATTTACAGATAAAAGAACTTCGTTCATGAAAATAATTGAAAAGAGTATGGGTATTAATTTCGGATATGATAGTCTCTATTTCGGCGGAAATTTAACTCCCTATTATCAAGCGGCGACCAGCATTTATTAATGTTTGCAAATTGTTTAATGATGTTCCACTGGCAGCATGTCACCAGTAAAATTTTATTGGACTGTTCTCAAAAAAATCAGGATAAAGCCTTCAGGACCAATAGTCTGCGCGTGGCTTTTGCGGATGCTCGCTTGCAATGTTCAGCGAAATTTAGCGACGGGTCGAATATGACATCAAGTGTTTTCGGCTCAAAAATTGTGTCAGTATAGTCGCAAAGGAAAATGAATATATTAAAAACCTCCACTATATTCCAGAATTTTCAATATTTTTGAAGTACTGTACAAATATCATTTGAAAAAAAAACATGCGAAGACCAAATTCCGAGAAAAAAAACGGATTCTTTTTGTATTCGTTTTTGTTACGCAGACGCGAAGCGGAGCTTCGCATTAATTGCAATACAATCATGAAAAAAAAACAAATCGGAACTGCTGAAACAACCAGTTGCAACAAAATATATTGAGCCCGTTTTTACAAAAAAAGAGATGCCACGACAAAAAGTGAAATGAGCATCGGAAGAAAACTTACAAAGCGCGAAAAAAGCCAAAAGCATTTGAACAGTAACCGTTTCAGCCGAAACAAACTTTAAA